CAAATAATCTTCACCCAAATAGTCATTTCAAGCGTTTTAAGCATGAAGGCAGATTTTTTTTAAAAATTATTACATGTATTTCCCGACCAGATGCTGTCGCCTTCTTTTTGATTTATCTTTCAGCTTACCGATACCCGGAGGATTCTTTCTAGTCTTGGTAACCTTCAACGCACTACAATCCCATCCAATTTGGTATCGAACCAACATCACGTTGATTCTGGTGGGAGAGTAGTGTAGTGGCATTGAACAATAACCGCACAATCCACAAAGCTGTGAACACGAGACTACTCAGAAAATAGATATTCAATATTTAACGCGGAGAAATACCTAACAATGGAGAAGGCGCGGGGAATGAATTGAATGGACTGGAGTTGATCGAGTGGCATGGCTCGTCCATGCAGGCGTGGTCTCTGCCGAATGTTACCTTATATCATCTATTCATATTAAATATATTGTTCTTTCTCTAGCCTAACCTTGTTCTACATCATGTATTGGTAATTGATACGATACAGTGAGTTGGTGTAGTCGATGGTGTGACTTCCACGTAAGATCTTATAGATTAGGCAGTTATATCATGACGAATCTACAATTTTGGGATCAGGTCTATTATTAGAGCAGCACTAATGTTATAGTAGACCATAATTCTACACATACACGGTGAGTGACTTTGCGGTATATTTTGTCCAGATACACGATGAATTTGGAGCCATGGTTAACCAAGACTTGAATGCAATGTACAATCTTTGTGATATCTCCCAAAACCTTATGACTCTTCAGACTAATATATAAAGCCTTTAGCAATGTTAATATAGGGACGTTTTGACTTTTTGTATAGCAATTTGTATCCTTAATCCGATTATTAAATACGAGAAGAATGTTCCTGCCTAGAAATCGCATTAAAAAGTTGGAAAGGATTCAAAGATAGTCAACTAATTTGATTTCTGGAATAATTAAGCTCCTGTGCACATGAAGGCTGTCTAAACTCAACATATTCCTTTTTGTCATATAGGGGGACTAGTGGTGTCGGGATATTAGTTTTTAAGTTACCGACGTCTAAGGATATGAAATACACCCACCTCTCTTGTTTTTAAAACAAATCTTTGCAAAGACAATCGTGAAAATTCACAAGTCTAGAGCCGATTACTTTTGAGTGGATTTATTACACTTTTATTTGGAACTTGATGCACTCTATTTGTTTTACGCGTTCGAACACTAGTTATGATATATCAGCGAATGTTCGAACGTATGGGACTTTACGGGTTAAAATATATTTCAAAACGTTTGAAACCTTACACCATCAACTTTTTGTTTTCATTAGAAGATGGTATTAATATCACGCTCAAGTTATTGTTAATTATCATCTGTTACCTTTGTTATCGATGTTAATGATTTGTGGACTTAATTGCACTTAATTGTAGAATGACCCTAAAAAGCGGTAAAATGTTGGGGTTTGGAAGCAGAAGGTCGATGTATTTTCTCGAAATTGTTGAATAGTTTGCGCAAGTATCGGGGAAAAACGCGTAATTTCTCCACATCTGAATGTTCTCTAGCGGTTTCTTCAAGACTTCCCCAAACGGAAAACAGTTTACCTCAAAAAGGGACATTGTGTCGCTAAGTCGCCGACTGACATCTTTTAATTCGTTTTTCTGCACCTTTTCATTCTCACACTAATACAGATCTATACTTCCTTGGTTCTCCAGAAACTATTCGGCTTGTCGTAAATGTCGAGATAAAGACGAAATTGGTTTTAAAAATCATGGATTAATAGCCTAGTTACTTTATTTTTTTATTTACCGAGTGCAGTTAGTTGGACGTTTTGATTCACTTTTTCGGGAATGTCCGTCATTTGGTTGAGTTTCATGCTATAATGATGGTTGGTAGCTATTGAATTGCCTTGAATATTATCCAGTTTTTTTTAAAGTATATCACGCCTAAAGGTTGTATAGTCTTCGAAGTAGAGCACTTGACACTATTTCGAAAGGGATAATCGAATGTCCTTCCGTTTCGTAATAATGTGGTGTGTATATTATTTTTTGGTACCATCGCACGTTTAGGCAGAGGCAGTATAAATACCGATTGATCAAAAATTTGAAACATTCAAGCATCCAACTGTTTATGTACATGTGCTTTGTCGTTCTATAAATCGCGTTTTGGATTAATCATACAGACATTACATTGTTTATGTATAAAACTCGTCCTTCAAAATATTGAACGACTCAAAATTTGTAAATTTTATTTGACTGTGCATTCATCAAGGATTTCAAAAATAGTTATTTCTGCCTAGTTGTGTTTTATAAGGTGAAATATACAATTTAGTTCATTCAGTTTAACTAATTAAGTTTTCAATCCAATACATTTTAATTCACTTTTTTCAGTAATGGAAGTTATGTAACTTATAGGTAAGTTACTGAGTTATTTTTCAAGACGTTATGGGTCCTAGTGATAGTTGGACAGTCCGTAATTGACTATTGAGTTGTGTCATGTTGCTGCGTGTCTGTTTTACTGCACTAACTTTAAAGTATTGTACTGAATTCAGGTTCGCGTGTCCAGGTACGTACGAAAAAACCAATCTTTTTTACGTAAACATAACAATCTGGTTTGGTTCCTATAGTTTTCACCGATGAGAATGTTACCACTTGTTCAATTAGATATCTCGATTGAAAAAGTGAAATCTTATCCCTTGTTTGATTGGCGCTTCAAAGTTTTGATCATGGCTTTGAGGGATGTTTGGTCCCTGAGTAAATAAAAGAATGAATTATTATTTGCGGTACTACGAGCAAGTTTATGATTGAATCATTTCAAAATAGATGATTAGGTTAGAAGATGTAACCATTTTAGTCAGTCTACTCAGCAACGAAAACGTGATACTTGCCTACTAATGATGCTGTCAAGATATGAACTGTTTGACTAAATGCTACGTATAAGACAAAATGTCGTAATTTGTGCTTTTATACCAAAAATATTAAAACATCTTTTTTATCATATGTTTTATTTAAAAATCTATTAAAACTGATGAATTAATTCTTGTCTACAGATAACGATGACTGGCAGAATTTCTAAAGATATTTTGGTTCTATAATAGAGTTAACGTTCATGTGTTATTGTACTCCATAATTTTGCCATGTAGGGTCATAAATTTTCTAAAACTTAATAAATTTGTCTAGGTATATTATTCGCACAAACACGATAGTTTGATCAATAACATACAAAAGACTATGAACCTTACTTCATGTCAGGTTGTATGACAATAAATATATTATGGTTTCTAATACTTGTACAGACAGATGTTAGTAGCATGTGTTAGAATTAAAAGAATTTCTACGGACAGAAGAGAAGGACACAGAGAAGAGAACGAAAAGCAAGCAAAATAACAACAGTAACAAAATTACGAAAGAGTTTGTAGCAGACGATTCTAAAAAGATAGGCAAATGGTGTATTTATTGTATTGTTCTCTATATTTTGCAGATACTGCGAATTAAATAAATTGGTTTATAATAAAATTTTTGTTAATTGCTACGTGATATTTATCAGACCTAATTCTGTAATTATAGGTAAGTGTTTGTAATTTGTTATACGCACCTGGGGAGACGTATTGTATATTATCCAGTATTATCCAGTCACTGCTTCTCCCGCAAATTTATCCGTTCTGTACATCAATAAACATCACCGTTACAGACAATCGACCCGTTGATTTTTGACAGTAGGCAGTGCGTGTTGAGAAACCCACAGCATTCAGCAAATTATGGTTGTCTCTAGGGCTCAAAGGACAACAAGAGTTAGAACTCGTGTGCAAAAATGCTGGCCATCACTTTATTTAAGCACGTCCAAGGTTTCGGATATTTAAAAACCCGTAACTAATAGCACTTAAGTTCTTACTGACTCATAACTGCTACATAAAACTAAGAAACCTTAGCTTTCCATGATATAACAAACTGATACTATAGTGAAAGTAGACTTGGTGGGGATAACCACTTTGTTTTCCTGTCAGTATAAGTAGCGTACACCGCGATACCACTTACAACAAGTAACCATTTGTTTAGATTTTCATTCGTTATTCTGAACTTTCAAACAATAGCAACATATTCTTAGATCCAAACAGGTCTATATACACTCTAAGTTTATTTGTTTTAGGCTATTCAAGACTGTAGAAACGTCGTATTTTGCTTTACATAATGTTGTACCTAATAGTTTCATAATTAGTATCTACTGACTTCTGTGAACATTGTAAGGTTTACAACATAAAATATAATTTAGTTTCCCAATATATGCGAAAAGTGATAAGGTTGGATGTGTGGCCCAAAAAGCTAAATTAAAAACTTCGTCTTAATTATCTCGTATAAAATGAGCCGTATTAAATCTCAGTGTGATATCACGTTCCATTTTTCCCAAAATTTGGAATTTATGCTGCAGATTACTCAAGTAAATATGTGTTTTGTTTGCGCATCAAAACGTTTCTTCTCTTTTCATTGTAGGTTCTTGGAATTATTGAGTAGATATTTATCAGTTTTGTTAACACCTTGTCGACACAATTCTGTTTAGAGTGTGAACGACATTTGATCAAATGTAGATAATAGTACACAAACTCTGGAGAGTTCTACTGCTTTTTCATTTTGCGTCATTCTACATGGTGCAGTAAAAGAGTTCAAAATACTAGCAAATGTTGTTGATATTATGAGGAAAAAGGTCAGATAATGGATCATTTACTAAGTAATCAAATTTAAATTTAGAAACAGAGAATCAATTTAAATTATTCAGAAGCCGAAGAATTTGTTCTTAAACAAATGAATAAAATACTCGTTTAAATACAGTACTTTGAAGTTAATTATCGAAATTTAGGTGCCAGTATTCAAGATATGCATATGAAGGTGCTCAAGGAACTACAGAAGATTTCCAAAATTACGGAGTATCCATCGACTGCGATAGTCGTTGAAGACTCGTTCTTTTCCACAAAGTACATGGAGAAACTAATGAAGGAAATGTAGGTAGTCATCGTTTTTTGAATGGATAGATTTTGTTTAATTGATGTTCTTGAAAAACTGGCAGAAGAAATTCAAAATACGGGGTCATGCGATTCATTGCAACAATCAGTTGACAAAGAAGAATCAGAATTCAAAGAGATAGAACATATTCTGGAAAGGTAGGTCATAAGTATTTATTGACAAAGACTAAGCATGAATCAGTTTCCATAAAATCTGTAGTTTGTTTTACTTATTTAGTATTCCTTAGCTGCCATACGGAAATACGCTTTTTTCGTTTAACTATATTATCACAATCTTATTTATCGGTTTACATTTTACAAGACCCACGTAGTTTTCTGGCACAGCTTGATTCCTTATGTGAATTGTCAATTCATTTTTATAATGTAATATAAATTTTGTGTTGCCAGTACTAAAATATCATTTTAATCATATGTTAGGAGCTTAAGGTACATGTAATGAGCTATTTGATCAGATTACACGGTTTAGGTGATAACAATGAAATACACCGAAAAACAATTCAAAAAACTAAGAAGTACTGTGAGAAATAATAGGTTTCGTCAGAATACAACTCAATAATGAGTAGTAACGCAGTTGTCAGTCCCTTTTTAACGAAGGATTGGGTAACCTCATATATGTACTTAGAAATAATTCATATAATTCTACATCTTTTAAATTTGAACCAAAAGTGGAAATATACGAAGTTTTGTCTTTCAACGATAATGCAGTTGTTTTTTCGTGGTCTGAATTTAATAAATCATTTAGGTGTCTAAACTAACACTGATAATCACACTATTGTGACTTTGGTCTGCCAAGTTGTTCTGTAGTAAAATATGTACGGAGATTAGTCTCTGAACTAGTTAGCAACCCTAGTGTGCTAGGCTACTTAATATGACCTTGATAATGTCGATGTATGAGTTTGGCTTGTGACTACTAGCCTTGAAAGCAGAAAACTATTCTGTTCACTGACTAATGATCTGCTACGAGAACACTTATTATTTAACAAGAAAAGAGAAGATTGTTACAAAAACCTATGTATTCAGTTATATCTTATTCAAAAAGTACATCACTAAATATATAAATAATTGAACCACAATGCATAATAAGTCAGAAAAGTACGATATATGCAAAAATAGGGCATTTAAGATACAAAAAATTGAATCCAAGACTGGTGTTGAAATAATAATAAATTTTGGTTAGTTCGTAGGTCCTAAACAAGATTTTGATCAAGAAAATAAGACAGTTATCCTAACTAAATTCAAGAATTATAGATTATGACCTAATTGAATTAAAGTTCCAAGAAGTAGCTCTCCTAATTGTCATTTATTTTTCATTCTCTTCATTACACATATATACAAAGTTCTTTGATTATTTAAATGAATGCTTTATTTATGACACCAATTATCGTTCAAGTTATTGAGCGAGGAAATATTCCTTTTTACTTACATTATTTATAATACCTCTACACCAATATATTAACTTCACAATATATAATAAAGTAGGTACCAATAAAGTAATATTTGGATCATTATTGACCATAATTTAAATTTTAGATGAGTTATGAAATGAATAATTAACAACAGTTGAAACAGGCTTTTATAATAGTGACAGAATATATGAAAATGTTAGTAAGAGTTAAAAAATTTTGTTGAATGGTCAAATAATAATAATGATAACAGATTGTAATAATAAGAATGATAATAACTACGTTACTCAGGAGTGAATTGCTCTTTTTACTCATAAAAGTTTCACAATAATGCTAATATTCACCTCATAAAATGCATCCTATACTTTAGTAAAATGAATCAGTAATTAGGAAGGGGTTTTGCGGATATTATAGCAATTTGATAGTTGAGTTCATGAGTCATTTGAAGCTAGACCACCATGGGTTGTTTGAAGTTGGACACCGTTGGATGCCGGCTCAGAGGTCTAAAGGTGTTCGCGTGCGAGATCGAAAGGTCCTAGGTTCGAATCCCATGGGCGGGATTGTTGATGCGCACTGACGAGAAGTTTTATACTAGGACGAAACGACCGTACAGTGCTTCCAGGTTTTCTGTGGTAGTCTAGCTTTAATTGGCTGATGAATTCAACTATTCAATAGGTAATTACATCACGTCTGTATTATGACATACTGAATTGTCTTCAGATATTCTGTCTATGAAAGTCCAGTTTTGTTTATTCGGCATAAAACCCTGTCAACCTATAGACGCCAAGTATTGATGCAACCTAACAGTTCATCTGTTCATTCAGCCATTCTGTATTTACTTGATAAACCGACATTTTTATGCTAACTAGTTTTAAAAAAATGTAAATAACATGTGGCTTAGTTTTGGATATTGACTCGAAATGTTCAAGTGGCCTCGTGTATTCAGTTGAATAATATCTTTAGGGGAAGAACTAACTGCAAGATATCACAATAAGTGGAAGTGCCAAGTTAATTCAGTACAACTATTTTATAAATTCTACGGAAAGTTAAATATCTTATCGATCTAATCTAATACAAAACTCACATATCAATGCTATTCACTTTTTCCTGGTATTTTGAAGGATCAGTTACATCAAATCGACTGTTTTAATAATTTGATTTTCACTTAGTATATTAAAATACAAAGATGACCAAGTAAATTGTGCCTATATACTGCAGTATTAGCTGAGATAAAGGTAAAACAAATAAAAATACACATGTTGAAAATATCAACTAGTACATCAATATTATATTATGAAGAGAATATAAAAAAGGAGATACACTGTAATAATAACATTCGTACTATCAGTTCAATGCACACTGATAAGTTGTAAATGATCAAAAGCTTAGATAATTTATGAAAAGACAGACTTACCAGTTAATCCCTGTTCTTAAATGTTGACAAAAAATCTTTTTATCTGTTTTATATATATATATATATATATATATATATATATATATATATATATATATATATATATATATACTTAATGTACATGCTAAAAAGAAATTAAAGTTGACCACGAAAGTTTTGATTCACTGATGTAGAATTATTGTGCTTTCAATACAAAAGTGACGTTTCAGGACTCAATTCCAGTCGAGTTGTGGATAAGCTCTACAGCTGAAAACTAAACTAGAATAAAACAACCTTTTTAATGATTTCCCAGGTTATATTAGTATATGATATTCTGTTTCTTTCTCTCCATAACATTTTTTTTCTAATCGAAAGTAAAAAAACAATTTACATTTGTTGTTTAAAATAGAGAACGTCAAGCTCGTGAGAAAATCAAGGAAATGAGACAAGATTCAAGAAAAGAATGAAGAAGGTATAAAAATTATTGAACAAGGCAAAGAAACTATAGCATATTTAAAGGATCAAGTCCAAGTAAATCTTATCTCCACTGTTTAAAAAAAATTTAATGTTGTAGTTATCTGTTTGAAAAATGCGTTTTTGTGAGAGATTAGAAAATATATCAACCTTTTATATACAATTCCATTGTGTTGCTTTTTTAAAAAACAATTAGCTCAAAATAATATTGCTACATCGTAATTTGAGAGGGGCTTTGTGGAGATTGTAGTAGTTTAATAATTGAATTCATGAGTCAATTGAAGCTAGATCATCATAGAAAACCTGAAAGCACTGGATAGTCGTTTCAAACGCTTAAACTTTAGATCACTGAGCCGGCATCCAAATGATAGGTCCTGGGTTCGAATCTCACGAGAGAGAGGGATCGTGGATACGCACTACTGAGGAGTCCCACTGTAGGACGAAACGACTATCTGGTGCTTCCAGGTTTTCCATGGTGGATTATTTTCTACTGACTCACCATAATTTCTTTAACCGTTACTAAATATTCAACAATATTAGGATCTAAAGGCTACTTATGATAGTTCCGAAAACCTTTGTGACAAATTTGATAAGAAACGTAAATTGTAATTTACCTGATAGAAAATAAAGAGTATGAGTTTAGAAAAAATATACACGTCATATTACATTTAAACATAGTGACAGTAAAAAATTGATCAACTAAAATTTGATTTGTGTCTTATTGTTAATCTGTTTACTTTAGATCACAGTGAAATAATAGTCAAACTATTGATTATCAGTAGTTCAATAAGACTTATGATCAAATAACTTCAACCTACAAGTGTCCGGTGTTCTTAAAGTCCTTGTTTCATAAAGATAAATAGATTTTATGAACTTCCGTTTAATGTAACTTTGTTTTGATAAGTGGATAATTATTTCGTGTTCACTATAAGTGTTGCAACTTAGGAAGGATCAAGGGAAGTTTTTCTTTAAGGTTTAAAATTTTGTCAGTTGTCAACCCATTAAGATTAATAGGACTTTCAAGATAAATCAATCGGTCACAGGGCTTATCTGATACATTTTGTGTAATTAGACTTGATAGTGACTTATGTCATTCTTGAAACAATTTATCTTTTGAGAGGACACAATTTATTTTCAAAAATTATAATTTAATGGCTACTAGAACTGTTTCCGTAATTCAATCAGCATGTAACAGCTAACATTTAAGCAACAGAAATAGTCAAGCTTTTATATCTTTGTCTTTGTTAGCGAGAGATTTAGACTTCATGAATAATAGATTCAGTCTAGTTTGTAACCAACTTCTTGCTAAAAAATGTTAAGTATAAAACCTAAACTCATAGCTGTTTAACAATTATTTTAATGAATCTGAAAATTAATTATTATGTTACTCAATACAGTCATTAAGTGGACAATTTACAAAACAGGCTTATTGTTATTATTATTATTATCCTATACTTCGAGGAAATGAAAGCTAAAATAATTATGGAAGAAAAATACATAACACGTTATTCTGCAGTAGAATTAGAAGAATTCCAAAGTCGATGTGATCAAAAAGAAAATGAAATCAAACATCAAATAGATTTCGTTCAATCAAATCGTAACACAGAAGAACGAGTTCATGCAGAGATTACATCTTACTTAAATGATCGTATATCATACTTAAGAAAGGTATCTATAAAAACTATACATATATATATATATATATATATATATATATATATATATACGCATAGAAAGATGTTAGGAGATTGAGTGTATACGAATGAAACCACTGGCTGAATGGAACTCACTTCGATACAAACAGAAAACTTGGATAGTAAATTTAGCTTCCAGCACTGTTTTCTTCCAGTTTTTGTGACACGTCTATCGACAAATTTGTTATACAACTTTTATGAACATACATTTTATGTTTTTATTCAGAATTAGTCAAACTATCTCTTTTGTTTTCGTAGTTAAATGATTTGCGACAAAATTCTGGTAGGCTTTAGTTAGTGTTTATAATATTAAAATTAAGAGATCAAACAATCATAACAGAACGAATAAGTGACTGCATAATTCACCAGCATTGTTCGAACTGAAACAAATGAACGCTAATAATATTATGTGATGGATAAGAGTATTTTTAGAAAACTATTTTCTCATGACAATGAAAAGCTAATTGAGCTTTCTTTTGTATTCATAGTTCAGACCAGGAATTTCGAATCATTATAGCCTGTACAGAGCGGAGTAAAATTAGATTACTTTTATTTTGAATGTTTTGGATATATCTCGATATTGTCTATTATCTGTCGATAGTAAGTGATCGTATTTGCAAAAACTTGGTTGTCACTCAGACATCAGTTTCTAAGAACAAATTCAGGCAGCTTAGTTGAAACCTTTCTCCAAGTCCTTTCCGAACTCTTGGTACCACATATATCTGTAAATTTCTAAGTTCATTTCAAGATGATATCGGAAGGGCATTGATTTACTTTTGAATGGTTTCCTAATTACTTGTATGATGAAATCATTTTAAATTCAAGAAAGCTACTTTTCAATAACATCGCAGTTCTTTTATCATTTTTTCTTGAAATATCAACTCTCTTAAAGAGAAACGAATAAAAAACAGGTTTCTTTGCTGATATTTAGTTGTTTATGATAATTTCTTCCATATTTAATAGTAAATGCCTTCGGAACTAGATATTCTATGAAAGACGTAGTGTTTCCAAGTTCTGTTAATTTTATCGCTTGTGGCCAATATTCTAGCTCTGTCGATGAACATTTCGTCTGGTCAAGATAAAAACTACTGCATTTTAATTATTAATCGGTCAGTCAGTAACAACGTAGAACTTCGTACGTACGTATATCAGTTCGAGTTGCCACACCACATTAGCACAGAAATGCAGTTGTCGTAACAAATCCCGTAGTGGTAGAGGTAGTAAGAGTATAAGCAGTAATCAGAAACATTAGGGTTTGGAGATGTTATCTAAAGAGTATAATTCAGTGAAATAAATTTGGAAAGTGAAAAAAGAGACAAGGAGGAATCAGGAGATTAGAATTTGGGAGAACACAAAGATTGTATGCACCTGCGCCATTGCAAACGATTTTGAGCCATGTCACTCAGGGTCTCTAATCATCGGTTGCTATCATCTCGCGGTCCCCAACCAGGTAGTCTACACCTACCAACATGACTCAGTCCACTTGTCATGGACTTGTGCCATGTTTTGGTCTAGCCGAGTTTATTTTCTCTGTATGGTTTTCAGGATAGTTATATCATTTCTTTTATACACAATAGTCTAAAATATTAGACTGATGATCAGATTTCACTGTGTACTTAAAGTTTGAGTGATAACATTTAGAATGTCAGCGTTCATGGAAAGGTTGACTGATTTCATTGCAATGAGTAAAGAGATCATTAACATATCTGGATTAGTGTTTTTCATCTACGATTTCAGTCTTCTTTGTTCAAGGTTAAAAATAAGGAGACAGTCCAAAATCGACAAAATCAAAGAACATTAACATTAGATTACTGATGTGGGTATTGTCTTGTTTCTCAAAGAAAGACAGTATGTTACAATACAAATCGGCAAATATATTGAAATATCGTACTTTATTTCCTTATCATTGATCAATAGACAAGCTGAACTTTCTAACTGACTCAAACACTGCTATATGTAGTTACAAATTATACTCATAAAACCCTTGTAAGAATGTAATATAAACAAACCACCCTCTCAGTTTTTGTCACTGAATTCGGTGGTGTATTAGATAATATTATTAATCAACTGATGAATAACTATTTTTCGACAGCATGAAGAATTCTGGAAAGAGAAGTCTGATAAAGATATTACTCAGTTCAAACAAGAGTTAAATGAGCTCATATGTTTGTAAATTTGCATAAAGTACTTCGTAAACTAATATTATGAAGTAATATACATTTTTTACATAAAGTGATAGGCTACAATAAAATCTTGATTTACTTTAAATGGATCCATCACGGATTAAGGAACGACCTAGTCAGTTCCTTTTCATTAGTTGCTTGGACCTTCCCGTTGATGTTTAGGACTGTAAATGATCAGTCTATTTTTTTAGCGTATGTGGATCCTGTACAGATTGTCTCAACATTACTATTAAGTTAAAGGATCGTAAGTAGAGATGTATGGTGGCTATCGGTGGAATCCAGGAGGCGCGTTTCGTCTTGTTCGGGAATCGTTAGCTGGATGCAGATGGATCCCAGCATTGACGTTCAATCTGAAACTTAAACCAATACCATTCACTTCCAACATCAACGCATTATGCATTTAGTTACAGAGTCTAAATAGCCAGCTTGTAGTCAGTTTTCTAACCAGAGTAGCACTTTTATTAACGAAAGGATTCAGAACTAGTTCTTGTGATTTAATTATTTTCTAATTCATTTAATGTCGTTTCGGATTCTCTAGTTTCGAAGTTGGCTTATTATTCATTTGTCAACAGGCGTAGACAATTTTGTTAGAGATCTCTGAAATAGCTAGTAACATGAACTGTTTTTCAAAGGACCTAGAATAAAAAAGATGGATTTCGTAAAAGACCAACCTTATAGCTTTTATATAAGGATCTGATCAACAGTAACATGTAAAAATGCTTTTATTTATGTTTCAGGTATACTTGATCTCAATTTCAAGTTATTTGACTTATATGGAATATTTGAATATTCAATAGTTTACAACTTTCTATGATAAGATAGATGTTTTGATAAAAATCTATGACTGCGTTATCTTGTCTTTCTTTCATAGTATAAAGAATATGAAGCCGTAGTTCTGTCTGATCGAATTGAAAAAGAGAAAGCTCGTCAAAGAGAAGAACAAGAAGAGTTAGAACTATTCGCAGCTTGTAAAGTAAGTTTAACAAAGTCTATTTTCCACTCTTTATATTGTAATTTATGAAGTTTATGCTACAATTTCAATGTGTATTGTAATAGGTTCTCATGTTTGGCTGCTGAATTAATAGATTATACTTCGATTTAATGTATCATACAGTTTACTTATAAATTAATGACAATTATATTGTGTATTTCTTCTAAGAAAAAAGTCCTTATATTTATTTTTAAAACTTAGCTTTCTTCGTTGGTTTCTATTAATGATGATAATGTTTTAGCTTATTTCAAATGAATTTAATTTATCATAGACTTATTCGCTATTCACTATCATATTACCCAATTTGTATGAATATTCACAGACAGGCATTAGATAATGTTGTGAAATGTAATGTAATAATCCAACATTTTGTTATGTATAAAGAAATGAAATCCTTTTTTGTAATTTCAATTATAGTCACTTTCGACTATCACAGGATCTATTTTATCTAGATACAAATATAAATTATTGATGATATGGATACAAATAAATGATATTCGTCATCTTTGACATTTGCACTTCATTTATCTTTCCGATTCATTGAATTAAAATACCAAATTATATTACTTTATTTATTGCTTACCCAAGCTCTCAACTTTTCGGAAATTCCCTAGAATTTCCCCAGACCTGGGGAAATTTTGGGGTTTCAGTGCTATTTTCCCAACATTTACTATAGCGGCTTCTCCAAAATGGGTTAAATTTTCCCCAAAATCGGGAGATTGGATATTTCTGAACATAAGTTATGTGTAAAAATCTAGTATATAGTTAATACATTAACTTTCAGATAAAAAAGTAGGGTTTCTGTGATAATTAGGAGTATTTGAATTATAGTACAAACTAGAAATCCCAGAAATAACGAAGTTTAAACAGGAAGAACTATATGAGCACAAACAAAGTATTGTATTTAGAATTCGAAATCAATCAGTCATCAAATACAAAGGAATCATTAATTCATAAAAAAATACCACAGTTGCTTAACATTCGAAAGCTTTGAAACAATCCATAATGTCCATATGTTAAGTAACGCACTGTTGGGATGGTTGTTTCTATGTTTACTTCTCAGATAACAGCTAGTAAGCTGATGGTAACTGGATATAAATCTTATCCTATGAACAAAGCTTACAGATTTTAGCATCTTATTTCAAGTTTCTGGTTTATATGACATTTTTATCTGGTGTTGCTAATTAAAGTAATTTTATACATCCACGATGGTAGAAAAATCACTCTTCTGCACATACTATTTTATATTAATGTTTCTTCATTTGTTGTATTGGCATGGTAGACCTAATTGTTATTAGGAAATACTGCTAGATAATTGATGACTTAGTATAATCGACTGGATAAAATCAGGTTTCATGACTTAACTATTATTCAATTACCGAATATTGACTTTTCAACACCGATCTGTAGGAATTTATGCATTGTCTTTTTTCATGAATAAACAATTCCATCATTAAATTTTCGAATAGTTCACGCTTAAATAATCAACTGATTATTTATATACTATTTTAATCTGGTGCTTCAAGTATTTACGTTCAGTAGCAATTAATAGTTTCTTCAGGATCTACATTTCTGCTTCCGAAAATTGTCTTAAACAGAAAACATGCATTCACTTAATCAACTCAGAAACATGTTATTTCACAAGATAATTTATAAAAACTAGTTCTGTGAGAAGGTAATTTATATCACAAGCTAATTTAAACATACTATTGAGAACAGAACATCTGTTATGAGATCCTTTATTTGTAATTATCATCAGTCGATTCGTGAAAAGAATTATCTTCAGATAAAGTTTTATTGTTTTTATCATTGATTTTTATTATTTTATTTGATACACCATGAAAATTATAAAAGTTGAATTGTATACTAATGTTGAAAGCAAACTAAGAATGTGTTTATTTCAACACTGAACTGGAACAATGTAAAATCCATATAATAATAATCTGTTGAATGTGAAATAAAGTGAGGTTTCATCATCCTCTTTTACTACAAATCGGACCTAATTTAACAATACTATGTAATTCAAAGTCTCAAATGTATAAAACTGCTTTTACCAAACGACATCATTGAATAATTTCTATGATTCAATATTTTTAATAACAAAATTGTTATCCTAAATAACGTACGAGACGTTCATTTAATTATTCCAAATTACAGCTTTATGAAATATGTGTCATAATACTTGTAAATGAATCCATTACTATTGAAGATGTATATAACACCTTCAGAAATAAAGAGTTCAAAATTATTAATATCTTATCATTTCAATACACTCAAAAGAAGAACAATAGTTTTATCAAGGTAACATTCTATTTTAAGTCATGGGAAAAATGTATTTTATTAAGTTGCAACAATAGGCAAATACGATTCTATGGTTAGCTCTAACGTTCGAAATATCAATCTTCTTAAGTGACTAGGACTCTTCTTAAGAATTTACTTGGAAGTAAGTAGAAATTATTTAAAAATAGGTCTAGAAGGAAAACTTTCAGATTTCATTGTACACACTCAGAGCGAGTGACATTATGAGTGAACATTATGAAAACATCTATATATTCAATGAA